AAATTTATTTACCTAGAGCATGCTATGCCTTAAAACTTTTCCAGATGCACAGGTTTGTCTGCACTCAAGAGTTAATTTTGGACGAAAACGCAGCCATTTTAGCCAAAGGGTTCACATGAACCTCAACATCATGATCAGCGTAGTATTTACTATTAAATCCCTTCCCTAACACCTAACAAGTCTATTAGAGGTTTCCCGATTTGCTACCGTACCAAAGGTAGTACGAACTGGGAGCCGTCATTGAACTTGTGAAAATAATTAATGTATACACTTAATGTCAACGAATGTTTTATTAATTCTATAATCAAAAGTATTTGGAGGATTTTTAGCTGCAGCTTGGTAATAATTTCACGGGGATATTTTTCGTATCTATAGCAAAAAATATTGAGTGTACTCGATTATGCTTCAAGCAACCGTTGCAAGTTATTGTTGTACGAACGTTTGTAGTTCAGATTTATTTCCTCTGAAATTGCAAAGGCAAAAAACTAAGCTAAAGTACAAAACACATTTATACTCTATTGATTTTCGCCTGTTATGTATTATTAATACAATATAGAATAAATTGGTTGGAATGTTTTTGTGTTGGAGCCATTTAAACATACAAAATTAACCTCATTACTAGTATATTTATGATGAAATTATATGAAAACTTCACTCGCCTGTGTGGAATCGAAAATCTAAAGTTCAAGTCCAACTGTGCAAGTCTCTATCAAGCATCCATGTAACTTCTATAAGATTATTACTTTCTTTAAATCATCAAATATCGTAGTTCACACTGTTAAATATTTAATATTATTACCATTCTTATAATTCTCGGCATTGCCACCAAAATCGTCTTACACATGTATGAGCAGGTGTGGATCAAGGATTTTGAAAGGGAGGCTCTAGCATGGCAAAGTTGGGAGTAATACTAGTAAAAAGTCTTTGCATTTATCATAGATGTAGCTCCATAAGGGGAACCATGACCCCTGGGCCCCATAAATCCGATTCTGATGAGAGATTTTACCAACAATAAAAGTACAGAGAAAGGCTCAATTATAAGATACGCTCGTAAACTATTTTTTAAGAAGAGTGTCCGTGCAATTTACTGTACTTATATGCAATTGTTCTAAGACATTGTGGTTTTTTATATTTTTTTCAACAATTCTAGACAATGGAGGGTTTTTCATCTGCAATAAAATCGTAAATATAGATTTTTCAATATTTTAAATTAATTATAAACTTTTTTAGAATGCATTGTTAGAGGAAAAAAATCTTCAGTTATTGATAAAACAAAACATTAGAACGGTGCCCTTTTCTCTTTCAATATGAAATCCCGGCTCTCTTATCTTTTCAAGAAAAAAATATTCGGTAATTATCGAAATGTACTACATAGATAATAATGTTTAATTTCATAATCATACAAGAACAACTATATTTATAAATCAGCACCATTTTGACACGTTAACGTATCTAACCAACATCAGTAACACGTGTATAAGAAAGTCGTTCATAGATAGTAATTTAATTATTCCAAGTTCTGTTTATACATAAAAAAAAATAATTTTTCTATGTTTTGTATATATAAACAAAACAAAAACATTGCATTATATAAACAGAAACGGAAATCTATATTTATAATTGAAAGTTAAATATTCTCAGATAGAATCACAAACAAAGTGTTCTAGGAACGGTAAAATCGATATCAAATAAATGTTCAGCTAGATTTTGCTGATATGCGATTCGATTTCTTTAATTTTATCATGATGAATCAAATAATATCATGCATTTAACGATACCTCCAAAACAATACTAATGATACCTCCAAAACAACACTAACGATACCTCCAAAACAACACTAACGATACCTCCAAAACAACACTAACGATACCTCCAAAACAACACTAACGATACCTCCAAAACAACACTAACGATACCTCCAAAACAACACTAATGATACCTCCAAAACAACACTAACGATACCTCCAAAACAACACTAACGATACCTCCAAAACAACACTAACGATACCTCCAAAACAACACTAACGATACCTCCAAAACAACACTAACGATACCTCCAAAACAACACTAATGGTTAAACTCGGTACCAACCGTACCTGATACTAAGAAAATCGGGAAACATCTATCACAACGACGTTTCTATATTCAACATAGAATATTAATAATTGCATACATATACAATATACTCGATGGGAGTTCCGGTGGGATGTGTGTTGGTTTGATGCTATAACATACAACATACCCGATTGGAGTTGCGGCGGGATGTGTGATAGTTTGATGCTATAACATATACAACATAACCGATGGGAGTTGCGGCGGATGTGTGGTGGTTTGATGCCATTACATGTACAACATACCCGATGGGAGTTCCGGCGGGATGTGTGTTGGTTTGATGCTATAACATATACAACATCCCCGATGGGAGTTGCGGCGGGATGCGTGTTGGTTTGATGCCATTACATGTACAACATACCCGATGGGAGTTCCGGCGAGATGTGTGTTGGTTTGATGCTATAACATATACAACATCCCCGATGGGAGTTGCGGCGGGATGTGTGGTGGTTTGATGCCATTACATATACAACATCCCCGATGGGAGTTGCGGCGGGATGTGTGGTGGTTTGATGCCATTACATATACAACATACCCGATGGGAGTTCCGGCAGGATGTGTGTTGGTTTGATGCTATAACATATACAACATCCCCGATGGGGAGTTGCGGCGGGATGTGTGTTGGTTTGATGCTATAACATATACAACATAACAAATGGGAGTTGCGGCGTGATGTGTGGTGGTTTGATGCCATTACATATACAACATATCCGATGTGAGTTCCGGCGGAATATGTGGTGGTATTGTTTCCATTACATGTACAACATCCCCGGTTGGAGATGCGGCGGGTGTGTGGTGGTTTGATGCTTTTACATATACAACATACCCGATGGGAGTTGCGGCGGGATGTGTGGTGGTTTGATGCCATTACATGTACAACATACCCGATGGGAGTTCCGGCGGGATGTGTGGTTGTTTGATGCCATAACATATACAACATACCCGATGGGAGTTCCGGCGGGATGTGTGGTGGTTTGATGCTATAACATATACAACATCCCCGATGGGAGTTGCGGCGGGATGTGTGGTGGTTTGATGCCATTACATGTACAACATACCCGATTGGAGTTCCGGCGGGATGTGTGATAGTTTGATGCTATAACATATACAACATCCCCGATGGGAGTTGCGGCGGGATGTGTGGTGGTTTGATGCCATTACATGTACAACATAACCGATGGGAGTTCCGAAGGGATGTGTGATGGTTTGATGCCATTACATATACAACATACCCGATGGGAGTTCCGAAGGGATATATAGTGGTTATGTTGCCATTACATGTACAACATCCCCGATGGGAGTTGCGGCGGATGTTTGGTGGTTTGATGCCATAAAATATACAACATACCCGATGGGAGTTGCGGCGGGATGTGTGGTGGTTGCATGCAATAACCTATACAACATACCCGATGGGACTTGTGGCGGAATGTGTGGTGGTTTGATGCCATAACATATACAACATACTCGATGGGAGTTCCGGTGGGATGTGTGGTGGTTTGGTGCCATAACATATACAACATACCCAATGGGAGTTGCGGCGGAATGTGTGGTGGTTTGATGCCATTACATATACAACATCCCCGATGGGAGTTGCGGCGGGATGTGTGTTGGTTTGATGCCATTACATGTACAACATTCCCGATGGCAGTTGCGGCGGGATGTGTGGTGGTTTGATGCCATTACATATACAACATCCCCGATGGGAGTTGCGGCGGGATGTGTGGTGGTTTGATGCCATTACATGTACAATATACCCGATGGGAGTTGCGGCGGGATGTCTGGTGGTTTGATGCCATTACATGTACAATATACCCGATGGGAGTTGCGGCGGGAAGTGTGGTGGTTTGATGCCATTACATGTACAACATACCCGATGGGAGTTCCGGTGGGATGTGTGGTGGTTTGATGCCGTTACATGTACAACATTCCCGATGGCAGTTGCGGCGGGATGTGTGGTGGTTTGATGCCATTACATATACAACATCCCCGATGGGAGATGCGGCGGGATGTGTGGTGGTTTGATGCCATTACATGTACAATATACCCGATGGAAGTTGCGGCGGGATGCGTGTTGGTTTGATGCCATTACACGTACAACATTTCCGATGGCAGTTGCGGCGGGATGTATGATAGTTTGATTCCATTATATGTACAATATACCCGATGGGACTTGCGGCGGGATGTGTGGGTTTGATGCCATTACATGAAAAACATCCCCGATGAGAGTTGCGGCGGGATGTGTGGACGTTTGATGCCATTATATATACAACATTCCCGATGGGAGTTGCGGCTGGATGTGTGGTGGTTTGATGCCATTACATATACAACATCCCCGATGGGAGATGCGGCGGGATGTGTGGGGTTTGATGCCATTACATGTACAAAATACCCGATGGGAGTTGTGGTGGGATGTGTGGTGGTTTGATGACATAACATGTACAATATACCCGATGAGAGTGGCGGCGGGATGTGTGGTTGTTTGATGCCATTACATGTACAACATACCCGATGGGAGTTCCGAAGTGATGTGTGTTGGTTTGATGCCATTACATGTACAATATTCCCGATGGGAGTTGCAGCGGGAAGTGTGTTGTGTTGATGCCATTACATGTACAACATCCCCGATGGGAGTTGCGGCGGGATGTGTGGTGGTTTGATGCCATTACATATACAACATCCCCGCTGGGAAATGCGGCGGGATGTGTGGTGGTTTGATGCCATTACATATACAACATCCCCGATGGGAGATGCGGCGGGATGTGTGGTGGTTTGATGCCATTACATATACAACATCCCCGATGAGAGATGCGGCGGGATGTGTGGTGGTTTGATGCCATTTTACATTGACCTTTAGTAGGTCGTTTTTGCCCGAAAACAAGAAGCATGTGTATTCATTGTACATTTTATTGTTATACAATAGTGTATAAAGTATCGGATCAATTCAATTAAATTGTAAAAGTACAGGAATTAATATGAGAAAAGGTGTAATACATAAGATAAAACTGAACGATACAATTTGTGTTCACTAAACAATCTAAAAATATATATAGATTATAATGCACGATATTTCATTAATTATATAAAAATCAAAAATGGCCGGATGTGTATACTATTATACAGAGAATACATAAGATAGTGCTGAGTTAAAAATAAGTACATTAATTTTATAACGCATTCTTTGATGCCAGCCTCTGGAACAGGTCTTTCATGGAATGCTCAATTGCCCCTCCTTTGCTTGAGGTTATAGCAGTAGTTGTTTCTCCTGTGGCTTTATCCACACAAATACCTATGTATTTCCACTCAATCCCAATTATCTGACCTTTGAATGACCAGGCAACAATTTTTCCATCACCCCGATCAATCTACAAAATACAAGAAGCGAACGTATTGAATGATAAAACAGCAGTTAAGTAAATGATAGGTATATAAAAAATCTTCTGGTGCAGTATAACATGTTACGCCATTCTTGATTGGGTGATTAACTGTCGGAGTCATTAGAAACGTTTAATTAACGTTTCCACGATAAATGTTTTAATTTTGAACATGTGTTGTATTTGAAGAGTGGGTTGTTCCATATTAAATGATAAAACTGTAAAAGTCAAATCGTCGGTAGTCCCTAGCTACAATATTTCTATCGACAGAAATGTGGGTAGTAATAACAGGATAGGTTTTAAGGGCATAATATACCGAAATTTCTCTCGTTGTCTTTTCCGTACAATTTTGATACAAAGTCAATTTTGATATTCACTTTCGAAATATACAATTAAAAAAAATACCATCATGAGTTACTTTTCGAGATATATTCATATTCAATACTTCGCTGGGAAAATGACAAAACTTTCAAACAATAAATGTGGATAATGTCATATAACTGAAGAACGGTGAAGGTGACGCTACCCAAATTTGAACTTGATCTGAGTTTTGTGGTAATAAGCATTGTGTGTAAGTCTCATAACATTTGGTTGAGGCTAACTTAAGTAGAGAGCAGAAACTAAAAATTCAGCAATTTTTCTATTTGTAAACACGCATAACTCTAGAACGGTTGTGTATAAGTTTTATAAGATTTGGTTGAGACAACAACATTTGGTTGAGACAAACTAAAGTTAGAGAACGGAAACGAAATTTTTTATGTTTATAAAGGGACATAACTCAAGAATGGTAAAAGTGTCGCCACCAAATTTCGTACTTAATCTGTATTATGTAGTAATAAGCATTGTGTAGAAGTTTCATAACATTTGGTTGAGGCAAACTAAAGTTAGAAAACGGAAACAAAAAAAAATGTACTTGATCTTAGTTTTGTGGTAATGAATATTGTGTATAGGTTTCATAATGTTTGATTGGGGCAAACTTAAGTTACAGAATGGAAACTAAAAATTTTGCAGTCTTTCGATTTATAAAGGGGCATAACTCAATAATTGTTAAAGTGACACTACCCAAATTCAACTTGATCTGTGTTTTATCAGTATTAAAAAGTCAGTAGTCAAAATTAATCATTGAATTGTATAAAGCATTGATTGTAGTTGATTCAACTATAATCATGGACAAAGGGAGATAACTCCAATTTTAAAAATTACTTGATATTTAGAAGAAAATAAAAATTTTGCAATTTTTCCATTTAAAAAGGGGCATAACTCTAGAACGGTTAAAGTGACGCCACCAAAATTCAAACTTGATCTGTGTTTTGTGGTAATAAGCATTGTGTATAAGTTTCATAACGTTTGGTTGAGTCAAACTTAAGTAAGGGAACGGAAACTAAACATTTTGCAATTTTTCCATTTATAAAGGGGCATAACTCTAGAACGGTTAAAGTGACGCCACCAAAATTCAAACTTGATCTATGTTTTGTGGTAATAAGCATTGTGTATACGTTTCATAACATTTGGTTGAGGCAAACTCAAGTTAGAGAACGGAAACCAATTTTGGGACGTACGTACGTACGTACAGTCGAACAAGGGTAAAACGTAATGCCCCAACCGCTACGGCGGCGGCATAAAAAAGATAATTTTGATCCTTATTGTAAAGTGTTCGTTAGTTTATATACTTTTAATGTAGTGTCCAAGTTGAAGGTACAATAAGATAAAATTGTTATGACACTTATCGGTGACAAAAAGCCACAGACAGCTTTCTTGTCAGTATCATTGCATGAAACCTCATTTTTAATGCTATAGGTATCATAACTGTTTAGCGCAAAAAATCGTTCCGTGGTCGTGTGCGCAGTGTATTGTAAATGCCACAGCGTCGTGTAACCATTCCCGCCGTATACCACAACGTCACATTAATCTCTGACATTTATCAAATATTTTCATGAACATTTCAGCATAACTTACGATCAATTTTAGTCGTAATATTTTTGTTAATAGAGTCCCAGACGTCTTGCGGCTTTTTGAACGCTAACGCTATTGTAGTATTGTTGGCAAGAAGAAGATATTTTAGTTGAACAATGAGAGTTTCCTGTTTATCATTGAAGAAATCACATAGCAATACATTCCGAAATTTAGAATGTCGGCTTCATACAGTTACAGGTATTAAAAACTTGATTGATTCCACTTGACTGGGCAGGGTTTAACAAAAATATGCAAACACTACATGTGTATTCGAAAAGTATGTAGTGAGACACAGCCGTTGATTTTCTTACAAAACGGAGTTTAAAAACATGCAAATGATACTTCGACTTTTATTGATTTCCTTTATTTGTTTTATAAATTTATATCTTTAAACTTTTTATTTGTCCCATATCATACACTCAGTTCTTTTATATATTCGTTTAGTGACACTGACAGGTTATTAGAAATCAGTAATGATAATTATAACGGGAATCATCATTATAACACACATCTTCAAATAGACTGTCCTAATGCAAAATAAAACGTTGATCAGTTGAAAAACCATTGGTAATGGATAGAGAACGTCATCCTATAAAGCCATCGATAAAAATAATTTCATATGAAATTTAATTTTATAAGCAATATTTTACTAAACTGACCATTTATAACGCTTAACTCTTTATCATGAATATTTAAAAGTCATAAAATCCAATGTCATTTAACTTCTCAAAAGTCATGTATGATAAGTACTGTGAATTTTTAATAGTAAAACATTTTCATAAAATCTCAATCATAACAGAAAATACTTTACTTGTTCTACTACTATATGTATACTTAACATTCGAACCTCTACTTGATTAAGCTTATATAATAATACATGTATACTTAACATTCGAACCTCTACTTGATTAAGCTTATATAATAATATTAAAGTTAAATGAATGCTTTTCAGTTCCAGATTAATGTAATTGTCTTTTAGATCTGAAATATTCTTGATTTATGAATAACATCAATGGTACAAATTTTACAGCACCAAAAAATGTCTCTGTAGTGATGCTCAAAGTCAAAAGTTCAAAACCTAATAATAACGTTGAGAAGAACATATTAACTTTATACAATCAATAACCTAGAATAGACGGTGTTTTGGGATTGGTTATTTACATGTAAATAAAGGGAGACGTCGGTGTCTGTTTTAAAGCAGAGGCGGATTTAGGGGGCGGGGTCAATATCCATCTTATGGAGCTTTATGAATAGTTGATTTATAGACTTTTAAAAAAACCCATTCCTAACGTTGCCTTGTTGATATTTGCCATATCTTCACCAAATCAACTGCTTACCTGTCCGTTACCAGATGTTCCCAGTGTATTTGCCATATCTTCACCAACTCAACTGCTTACCTGTCCGTTACCAGATGATCCCAGTGTATTTGCCATATCTTCAGCAAATCAGCTACTTACCTGTCCGTTACCAGATGTTCCCAGTATATTTGCCATATCTTCAGCACATTTCAACTGCTTACCTGTCCGTTACCAGATGTTCCTAGTGCATTTGCCATATCTTCAGCACCTTTCAAGAAGTTTCCAAATTTATCCATTATTATCGACTGAACAAAAACCTAAAAGACGAATAATACCTTTGTATGAAATAAGTGATCTGACATGAACTGACATCTTAAAACGGTACTTAAACAGCACCCTTCACCTCGAAATCTTCATTGTTGAAATATAAAAATTTCATGTATTAATTTCAAGGTCAATAAAACAACAGCAAAGCGACACATTTTGTCTATTATTGGTTTAAAAAATTGATAATTATCAGTTTGGTAAATTCAACCATTTCTGTAATGACTCCTCTCAACAGATGTCAAAAGATGGAATATTAAGCTTTTATTTAGTACAATACACGTTTAGTGATGTAATATAAAGTTTGTTCTTTTTTTTTTTCAATCTTCAAAAAAAATCATGATAGACTCGAATAAAATTGTATTTACCTTTAAGTTGTAAAACGTCAATAAAAAATTAATCATTTGGAATTTATATATATACCATTTGTGGGTATTTTTAAATCCAATTTCCCCTTTTGCTATTTATAGTTATTACGACCTTAATAGGATTGAAATGTATTTTTAGACATTATGTGCTCAGAAATTTCCATTACTACAGCTAGTTAAATTGAAAGTAAATGGTTTTGAAAATTAATGAATTTTAGAAATTCATCATTCATTAGATGACATGGGGAAAATTTGAAAATTTTCGGAAATTTTTAACAAACAATTACGGATTTACTATAGGGTTAGTTAAATTGAAAGTTACTTGTTTTGAGATTTAATGAATTTTAGAAATTCATCAAGTTGTTTATTAGATCACATAGGTAAAAGGAGGAGGTCCGGTAAGGGCTAATTTCGGCCTAAAATTCAAAGTACATCTGATGAAAAATAAAAAAATAAATTAAACACTTAAGTGTCTACTCAAAGTGGAAGTGGCCACATTCGCGTTCAGTTCTAGCATTTATATATGTTATGTATTATCATTAAATACAACATATATTTAAATAATAAGACTGAACACAAATGCGGCCGTTTCAATTTTAGACAAAAAAAGTCTTAAAATTAGTACAAAAGTAAAATTGTGAAGATTTCAGTATTTTTGCATCAAATAATGATTCTAGTACCTGATGCTTGTCCATTGTTTTGTCAAAAAAAGCCCATATTTATGTTACAAAATTATTCTAATTGTCAATAAAAAGCTAAAAGTTTACATTTTTAACAACTTTGTAAAAACGCTATATTAGTGGTCAAAAAGGGTCTTACCGGGTCTACTTTTTTGAAAAATTGGGGAAATTTTATATCCTTTTTCACAAATAGTTACGGATTTGTCAGGTGATTTACAAACTATCGAGCTTGGGTTATTTATTCCATGTACGAATTTAAGGAGAGAAAAAAAATTTGAAAGGTCGTTACAGATATGCAGCTATGGAATATTCGTTTCTTTTATAAATGTTTTAATTATGTATTTGGCTTCACTAACATTTTGGTCCAAAGCGAACTTGTTTATTCCATTGTCATATTAAAAAATCTTGACTTTACATCCTGTCGATACGTTCGCAATACCTTTAAAAGGTAGGATGTTGTTAGGTGTGCTGATGGTAACAGTGATTTGAAGATTATTTGCATGATAGAAAACAAACAGTAGTTAGTACTGCATAATTCGTCATTTTTGTTAAGTGTCAGCAGGTGTACCCCCAGGGATCTGTTGTGGTCCATCTTCTATTCGCTTTATATATTAATGATATTGCTGATACGCTTACATCGCCGTGTAGGCTATTTGCAGATGACACTTCATTCAGTTATTCTAGTTACGATGGACAAAAGATTAAGTCTGTGATCGATTGCGACCTGAAAAAGCTGGATGATTGGTCAACTGAATGGATAACGTCATTTAATCCTGATAAAACAGAAATTATGATATTTTCAAATATTGAGATACCAGATCTCAACGTTCCCTTAAATGATAAAAATATCCCTATAAGTACATCACATAAGCACCTGAGAGTTACCTTTAGTAGTGATGGAAAAAAGTAAAATAACAAAAATACCAAACTCCAATGAAAATTCAAAACAGGAAAGTCCCTTATCAAATGGCAAATTTAAAAGCTCAAACACATCAAACGAATGGAAAACAACTGTCATAGTCCTGACTTGGTACAGGCATTTGCTTATGTAGAAAATGGAGGATTAATGGTAGAAAATGGAACAATCATATTGAAAGAATAATTATATGTGTAAATAAGCACCTTAATGTTCTGCGTAAACTTAAATACCGACTGTCTCGAAATAATTTAGAAAAACTCTACCTAGTTTTTATTAGACCCATTTCTGATTATGCCACGGAAATACGGGATTATTATGAGAAATATTATTCAAATAAATTAGAAAAACATGCAATTGGCATCTGCAAGAATTGTTACAGGTCTACCAATTTTCACTAAACCTGAGACTCTGTACACTGAGGTTGGCTGGGAATCTTTATATGAAAGACGAAGAAGAAAATTACAGCTGTTTTATATTATAAATATAAAACATGCACCTCAGTACCTGTATAATCTTGTTCCCCCATGTATACAAAGTACAACCAACTATCCGTTGCGAAACGGTCAAAATATCATTGTTCCATTTTGTAGACTTTCCCTTACCACTGAATCTTTAATTCCATCCACAATACGAGAATAGAATCAGCTTGATTTAAAAATTCGCAACATCGACTCTATATCTAAATTTAGGAAAGAATCGAAAAATGGTATTTTACGTTTGCCCAAAATACTGTACTCTTCGTGTAGAGAATCTTTAGTCAACAATCTTAATTGGCTAATTTTCAAACATGTTCAAGATTTTATTAAAAGGTTAAACAGATTTCTAGAACCTTCATGAAGTGTTATAAATACTGGCATGGACGATCATCATCATCAAAACTTAAGTTATCATCACAGATAAATATAATGTCTCAATCTTTGCTTCTTCTTTTTCTTTTCTTCTCTTTATTTATAGTTTATGTAATATCTAATGAATTTGCTCATTTTACATGCATGCTCATAATATTATAATTATATATATATATATATATACTCATATTGTATTATGGAGAAGTCTTCATGAGTATGATTTACTTGTGTCTCATCCATTTTGTCAAGATTTAGCAAATAAAATATGTTTAAGCTAAAATCTTTCTCTGTTGAAGATGCACAGATGCATATCTCATTTTTGGAAAACGTTGTCTTTATAGTAGTCGAAGTAGCTTTGAGAACTGCGATTACTGCTTTGTCGTTGTGTTAGTTATATTTTTGCCTTTAAGTACCCATCCTTTTCGACTGTATCTTATAATTTTGTTCTAATGTTGCATGTACTGTTACACCGCTGTCCCTTAATATGTGGAGGGTTTAGCGCTTACAAAGTGTTTAACTCGCCGTTATAATTTTTTTTTTTTTTTTTTTTTTTTTTGTATTGTTTAACATTTTGTCCTCCTCTAGGGTCATTTTATGAAATACTATATAATATGAGGTTTGCTCATTGTTGAGAGCTGTACGCTGACCTTTTAATTGTTTACATATCCTTTAAATTTGGTTGAATGTTGTCTGATAGGCTTTCATATCACATCTCCTTATCTTTACACTGTGTTTCCCCAACTCGAAAGTTGGCATATCAAGACTGTGCACGTGATATTGCTGTTAACTAATTTCTCCTTATTTTTACACTGTATTTCCCCAACCCGAGTTGGCATGTCAACACTGTACACGGGATATTGCTGTTAACTTATTTCTCCTTATTTTTACACTGTGCTTCCCCAAATCGAAAGTTGGCATATCAACATTGTGCACGGGATATTGCTGTTTACACATGACTCCAAATTTTTATACTGTGTATCCCCTACCCGAGTGTTGGCATATCAACACTGTTCACTGGATATTGTTGTTAACTTACGTCTCCTTATTTTCATACTGTGTATCCCCTACCCGAGAGTTGGCATGTCAACACTGTACACGGGATATTGCTGTTAACTTATGACTCCTTATTTTTACACTGTGTTTCCCCTGCCCGAAAGTTGGCATATCAACTCTGTACACAGGATATTGCTGTTAACTTATGTCTCTTTATTTTGTATCCCCTACCCGAGAGTTGTACAAATTATTGTTGTTAATTTATGTCTTCATATTTTTATACTGTGTATCTCCTACCCGAGAGTTGGCATGTCAACACTGTACACAGGATATTGTTGTTAACTTATGTCTATTTGATTGTTTAATGCAACACAATACTAACATTAAGGAATTATTTATAGTGTACCGAAATATTTTTATGGTGTACAGCATATTTTCACTTGAACCCCGCTCGGTCAATATTTTGATAGAATTAAGCATTGGTTGAGAGTCAATAGCAATTATAACTAGTGTACATTGTATAAACCACATATATTTCCATTTGCGAGCAAACGCATGCAATTAAGGATACATGTGTATAATGGCAAATTGGTCATCGTCCACATCGAGGCTTAGACAAGTTTGAAACAAGTTTTATTGAATTTTTTACATGAATTATAAAGTTTCAATGCGTTAAGTTTGAAAACGCTTCAAGCTGCTAATTGACTTTTAAATATATAGAATTGAATGCATTTTAAACAATTGATTAGTTATCAAAGGCGCAAACAATCAAACTTGTGCACACATGGGCAGTGTGAACGCGACAAACTTGTGCACTCATGGATAGTGTGAACGCGACAAACTTGTGCACACATGGGCAGTGTGAACGCGACAAACTTGTGCACACATGGGCAGTGTGAACGCGACAAACTTGTGCACACATGGGCAGTGTGAACGCGACCTAAGGTTCAGCTGGTATCTTTTTGTATGACTTGAGAGAAAGTGCCTTTAGTAACATATTTACTAATAATGAATTACGAAATATGACCAATGATGAAATGAAAAGGTGGACAAACTGTAATCGAAAGCTGACTAGATATACAATAAAAGCGTTCCGACATCGGCGTGGAGTGTTATACACATAAAAATCTTGATACACAGTAGTTTACTATTTCTATTTCCATAATTTTAGTTGAAAGTAAAGAGAATTTTTTCAATTAGCTGAAATACTAAAATGTGAAAATGTTACTTGATAATTAATCTGACAATTTTCTGATTCTTTATTTTAATTAATTTAGTTAAAATGGTATATATTTAATCTTTTACTCATTCTTTTTTTATTAACTTTCATTTTTATTCAGCATTACAAATTTTCAATTTAGTTCAAATTTGTACATTTGTTCGAAGAAAATGACATTATTTTTGTGATTTTGAAAGTGACTTATAGATACGATGGGCCGGGTGTATTTTTTATTGTTTTTGAAACATATTTGTATGACAAATTGTATGTCAAATATGACACATGTCACTATAACAATTGATTTATTTTATTTACTTTTGTGTAAGAATCACCCGAAATGGTTGAAATAACGAATTTTTGACAATTTTATGCCAAAAAATAATAATTTTCCAATTAAGGGGACAGACGCCATCTACGTTCCACCTCCCCCTCTCCCCGAACCATAAATCTAGTTAACGTATTTCTCATATTACGCGCATTATTCAAATTCACTGTCACGGGTTATTTAAAGATTTGAAATTTCCAATAAGTCTCGGGTAACTTCTGAATTTGTTTGATCGAAGATAAGAATTAAAAATATCCTGTGTTATTTTTAGACTTTGTTTATGGATACGTGTACTTAACACAGCCTATATAAACGGTAAGGTAAGTTAGCATTTACTCGTCAAAATGCCTGGTCAAGTCTGGTTATCTCTCTGTGTCGTTGTACTGGTGTTCGGTAAGTGTTATTAATAGTAATATATATATATAGAATTATGATTAACGAAAAAATACGCAGAGTACATATGCAATTTAAGTATCTGGAAAGTAGGACGCTCGATTCCATAAATAAGAAACATCGCAACCTCGTCAGTTTGTCTTTTGTTATATATTTGTTCTGTCGGTATTGATTGCAGACCTCTAATAGTCTCTGGTAAATTTATTCACAACTTTTATAGACTTGGAACGATCAAAGCTTGACTTGTCTTTTGTTGATAGCAGACCTCTAATAGTCTCTGGTAAATTTATTCACAACTTTTATAGACTTGGAACGATCAAAGCTTGACTTGTCTTTTGTTGATTGCAGACCTCTAATAGTCTCTGGTAAATTTATTCACAACTTTTATAGACCTGGAACGATCAAAGCTTGACTTGTCTTTTGTTGATTGCTGACCTCTTAAATCTCATTTTGGTATTTTTGTGTCGTTGGGTTGCAGTCTCATAGGCGTATACCCCACATCTTTTATTCATATCTATCATTGGGAGCTTGAAAAGTAAAGTAATATTGATTTAAAGCTGGTTTACCATTACAGTACAAAGCTGATATGCCATTAAAAACAAACATGGGTTGATCGTCAAAAACAGCTACACAAATAAGATGAACAACATTTATTCACGAGTGACGATTACTCAAAAAACAATTTGAATATATATTTTTAAACCGGAGGAAACAAAAGGGCTTGGGCTTTTATGTCGACGACCCGTAGAAACTTGGGACTATTAATTTCTTATGAAAGGTTTTTGTAAGTATAGTAACATCGTTCATTGTTTCGTTCGTCTCATTAAATATTTTTATTGCCAACATGAAATGTTCATTCTCGATGTCGTCGTCCTCCGTCAGTTGAATACAACAAACAATATCTGTTAGTCCTGTAGCCCATATTGGTACCATTTCCGAGTTGCTGATACATAAAACAATGTCTCTAATTCTTCGTCAATTTATCCCTTTCTGCACCCATTGTATAAAAAAAATTTAATCAACGTGTGGTTCGTTTGATCTCAGTTCTTCATTGGTTTAAATTATTATGACGTCGAATTTTCTTGCTTTCCTCTGAATTTCCTATTGTGACGGCATGAAAAAAGGCGACCATGCCTGATGACGTCACATAGAAAGAACACATCTTTTTGCAGATCATTCGAAAAGAAGGAATAAATTTGCCTGCGTATTGTTTGAAAATCATTAGAGAAACAGATTCTACCACCAAATCTCGTGTAATACGATATTTATCCACTCTCGACAGTTAAATTTTAAATATTTAAAACTCTCGGCGAGCCTCGCGTTTTAAATTTGAAAATTTAACTGTCTCGAGTGGATAAATATCGTATCACACTCGATGCAGTGGTAGAATCTATATGTCTAGATTACTTTTAACGTTTATTGAGTCAGGAGATTTAAAGGAATTTTCAGATATATTTCTTTGGACAGAGAAAAAAGCCATGCTTACATATAAATATTATATTAGATAAGTGTTGATTGGTCAATGATTGCACAACGAGTAGAAGGTTTCTTTTCCATGTTTACAGGTCACATAAATGCCGGGCTTGCTGATATAGGGAACTTAATAGGCGGTGCTGAAAATCTGGCAAATGCACTTGGAACATCTGGGAATGGAGAGGTATTATTATTAACAGCTATATGTGTATTGTTTGAACTGGAGACTAAAGTTTAAAAGTTTGCAATCGAAAAATTGGCCCCCTTTTTTAAAACTCAACTCACCCGACTGAAAAGACGAGATTCCGTTTTATTTTGATGCTCTAATTTTCCACGTACACATGATGATGATCAATTTATACCATGTATACAAAACACACGTATGGACTTTTTATATCCTTCATCCCCGATTCTTATTGGTTCGATCTGGAAGACGTTTCTTGTGCTAGTATGTACCTTTTGTTTAAATGAGGAATTAAAAAGAGGGGGGAGATTTTAAAAAAGTTGAAACCCGCCACATATTTTAAATGTGCCTGTTACAAGTAAGAAACTTTGTCATTGGTTGTCTTCTCCTTTTGATTGTTATCCATTACATTACAATGATCGTCCTTTGTTGTTGGTTGTCTTCTCATTTTGATTGTTACCCATAACATTACCGTGATCGTCCTTTATTTTTGGTTGTCTTCTCCTTTTGATTGTTACCGATTACATTACCATGATCGTCCTTTGTTGTTGGTTGTCTTCTCCTTTTGATTGTTAACTATTACATTACCGTGATCGTCCTTCGTCGTTGGTTGTCTTCTCCTTTTGATTGTTACCCATTACATTACCATGATCGTCCTTTGTTGTTGGTTGTCTTCTCCTTTTGATTGTTACCCATAACATTACCTTGATCGTCCTTTATTGTTGGTTTTCTTCTCCTTTTGATTGTTACCCATAACATTACCGTGATCGTCCTTTGTAGTTGGTTGTCTTCTCCTTTTGATTGTTACCCATTACATTACCATGATCGTCCTTTGTAGTTGGTTGTCTTCTCCTTTTGATTGTTACCCATTACATTACCGTGATCATCCTTCGTCATTGGTTGTCTTCTCCTTTTGATTGTTACCCATAACATTACCATGATCATCCTTCGTCATTGGTTGTCTTCTCCTTTTGATTGTTACCCATTACATGACCATGATCGTCCTTTGTAGTTGGTTGTCTTCTCCTTTTGATTGTTACCCATTACATTACCATGATCGTCCTTTGTAGTTGGTTGTCTTCTCCTTTTGATTGTTACCCATTACATTACCATGATCGTCCTTTGTAGTTGGTTGTCTTCTCCTTTTGATTGTTACCCATAACATTACCGTGATCATCCTTTGTCGTTGGTTGTCTTCTCCTTTTGATTGTTACCCATAACATTACCGTGATCATCCTTCGTCATTGGTTGTCTTCTCCTTTTGATTTTTACCCATATTTGATTGTAACCCATAACATTACCGTGATCATCCTTCGTCATTGGTTGTCTTCTCCTTTTGATTGTTATCCATTACATTACCATGATCGTCCTTTGTTGTTGGTTGTCTTCTCCTTTTGATTGTTATCCATTACATTACCATGATCGTCCTTTGTTGTTGGTTGTCTTCTCCTTTTGATTGTTACCCATAACATTACCTTGATCGTCCTTTATTGTTGGTTGTCTTCTCCTTTTGATTGTTACCCATAACATTACCTTGATCGTCCTTTATTGTTGGTTGTCTTCTCCTTTTGATTGTTACCAATTACATTACCGTGATCGTCCTTTGTAGTTGGTTGTCTTCTCCTTTTGATTGTTACCCATTACATTACCATGATCGTCCTTTGTAGTTGGTTGTCTTCTCCTTTTGATTGTTACCCATTACATTACCGTGATCATCCTTCGTCATTGGTTGTCTTCTCCTTTTGATTGTTACCCATAACATTACCATGATCATCCTTCGTCATTGGCTGTCTTCTCCTTTTGATTGTTACCCATTACATTACCATGATCGTCCTTTGTAGTTGGTTGTCTTCTCCTTTTGATTGTTACCCATTACATTACCGTGATCATCCTTCGTCATTGGTTGTCTTCTCCTTTTGATTGTTACCCATAACATTACCTTGATCGTCCTTTATTGTTGGTTGTCTTCTCCTTTTGATTGTTACCCATTACATTACCATGATCGTCCTTTGTAGTTGGTTGTCTTCTCCTTTTGATTGTTACCCATTACATTACCATGATCGTCCTTTGTAGTTGGTTGTCTTCTCCTTTTGATTGTTACCCATTACATTACCGTGATCATCCTTCGTCATTGGTTGTCTTCTCCTTTTGATTGTTACCCATAACATTACCATGATCGTCCTTTGTTGTTGGTTGTCTTCTCCTTTTGATTGTTACCCATAACATTACCATGATCGTCCTTTGTTGTTGGTTGTCTTCTCCTTGTGATTGTTACCCATTACATTACCGTGATCGTCCTTCGTCCGATGTTTTCTAATGGTCATTGTCCCCGTTACTATAAATAGAACATATTCTGTCTTACTCTAAACCGGATAAAATGGTAATTTTTATCGCTATACTGATAAAACATTGCTGGTTCTATTTTCTGATGGTTGATTTTTCTGCTAAAAAACGGATGATCAATTATAGTGCAATGTTAAATTACCAAAAGCTGAACTGTGAGCACTCTTGTATATCATGAAGGGTTGAGAGTTTAATAGCCTTGAATCAGCATTATAGTCTATAATGGTTTACTTTTACAAATTGTGACTTGGATGGAGCATTGGCACTCATACCACATCTTCTTATATCTAGTATATTCAAACTAATTATATCATAAATCAAGTGATTATTTACATTTTCCCATTTTTGAAAAGGCAATGTCGAGGCCTTAAATATCTTACTATTATGTGTGGGTTTGCTCATTGTTGAAGACCGTACTGTGTCCTATATTTGCTAACATCTACGTAATTTGGTCTATGGTGGATAGTTGGCATCGGCAATCATACTTCTTTTTTTTTACTCTGCAAGTAGTTACAAAAAACTAAGACGATAGCAAAGGGACAGTCAAAAACCTTGTGTCGAAGAAAGACGGACAACACAACGAAAAAAAAGGAAAAAAGATGTAAAGACACCAACAGTTCACACAACACACTACGAAATAACAAAAATCAGCAACACGAATCCCCCAAACCCGCGGATGAATATAGCATGTACAGGTGGCCCAAAATTTCAACCAGTTTCCGCTTTAGTTGCTAATCTCTTTAAGATCTTGCAAGTACTATCTTAATTTTGACTAAAAATTTCAAATACAGTGTGGGTAAGATTTGCGGTTTACATGGCACATATACTTTTTTAACATTCCATGCATACGTTCTGGGTTTACATGGCACACATACTTTTTAACATTCCATACACAAGTTCTGGGTTTGATGTTACCCGAACGTGTCGTTCTTTCAAATGTTCAAGCACATCATATTATTTTTCATTAAATATACTTCATATTTCAGATAGATCGTGGTAAAGGGTGTGTAGTGACCTGGAACTTCAAAGGACAGTTAATGGGATTTGAATGGAAGTATATCGGAGTATGTGTTGATAGATGTACAGGGGAGACAACTACATCTGTAACTCAGAGTAAAGGTGGTGCAATTGAACATTGTCTCCGAGATTTGTTCCAGAAATTGGCGGCTAAACAAGAATTATAACACTAATTATACAGATATTATTCAGAATAGACGATACTCCACAAAACAGTTCAGATATACTCATTTGTTATTAGTTAAGTATAAAGCTACTGGCAGCTCTTTTTCAATATATATGAGTTTCTTACAGAGAAAGCGTTTTTCTTATATTTTTCCACAATGTTTATATTTTAATGTTTTTACTTGATTTGCATCTTCTTTCGTGTGTAACAGCAATGTAATTAAAAAGGCATAAGAATGGTTAATATATTAAAAATAATAATCGTTGTTAATAACTCGTTTTCTTATATACAATTCTTTGCGCACTGTAAACTTTGACAAATGAATTATTCGTATCACCGCCGTAGCGGAGGGGGCATTAAGTTTTACCCTTATCCGTCTGTACGTACGTCCGTCCGTTCGTCCCAAAGTTGGTTTCCGTTCTCTAACTTTAGTTTGCTTCAACCAAATGTTATGAAACTCATACACAATGCTTATTACCACAAAACACAGATCAAGTTTGAATTTTGGTGGTGTCACTTTAACCGTTCTAGAGTTATGCCCCTTTACAAATGGAAAAATTGCTTAATTTTTCGTTTCCGTTCTCTAACTTTAGTTTGTCTCAAGCAAATGTTATGAAACTTATACACGATGCTTATTACCACAAAACACTGATCAAGATGGAATTTTGGTGGTATCACTTTTACTATTCTAGAGTTATGCCCCTTTACAAATGGAACAATTGCTGAATTTTTCGTTTTTGTTCTCTAACTTAAGTTTGCCTCAACCAAATGTTATGAAACTGATACGCAATACTTATTACCTCAAAACTCAGATCAAGTACAAATCGTATAGCAAACCATAAACGTCAATCAAAAGCTATCACGATCTTATAGCAAACTGTAAACGTCAATCAATAAGGTACTACGATCTTATAGCAAACTATTGACGTCAATCAATAAGCTATCACGATCTTATAGCAAACTATTCACGTCAATCAATAAGGTACTACAATTCTTACAACAAGCTATTAACGTCAACCAATAAGCTACTACGATCTTATAGCAAACTATAAATGTTAACCAATAAGGTTCTACGATCTTATAGCAAACTATAAACGTCAATCAATAAGGTTCTAAGATCTTATAGCAAACTATAAATGTCAATCAATAAGGTACTACGATCTTATAGCAGACTATAAATGTCAATCAATAAGGTACTACGTTCTTATAACAAACTATAAATGTCAATCAATAAGGTACTACGATCTTATAGCAAACTATAAATGTCAATCAATAAGGTTCTACGATCTTCTAGCAAACTATAAATGTCAATTTATCAGTTGCTACGATCTTATAGCATACTATAAATGTCAACCAATAAGGTTCTACGATCTTATAGCAAACTATAAACGTCAATCAATAAGGTACTACGATCTTATAGCAAACTATAAACGTCAATCCATCAGCTGCTACGATCTTAGAGCAAACTATAAATGTCAACCAATAAGGTTCCACGATCTTATAGCAAACTATAATTGTCAACCAATAAGGTTCTACGATCTTAAAACAAACTATTAAGGTCAACCAATAAGCTACTACGATCTTATAGCAAACTATAATTGTCAACCAATAAGGTTCCACGATCTTATAGCAAACTACAATTGTCAACCAATAAGGTTCTACGATCTTATAACAAACTATAAAGGTCAACCAATAAGCTACTACGATCTTATAGCAAACTATAAATGTCAACCAATAAGGTTCCACGATCTTATAGCAAACTATAAACATCAATCAATAAGGTACTACGATCTTATAGCAAACTATAAAGGTCAATCCATAACCTACTACGATATGATAGCAAATTATAAATGTCAATCCATCAGCTGCTACGATCTTATAACAAACTATAAACGTCAATCAATAAGGAACTACGATCTTATAGCAAACTATAAATGTCAATTCATAACCTACTACGATATGATAGCAAACTATTAACGTCAATCCATCAGCTGCTACCATCTTATAGCAACCTATAAAGGTCAATCAATAAGGTACTACGATCTTATAGTAAACTGTAAAGGTCAATCAATGAGGTACTACGATCTTAAAGCAAACTATAAACGTCAATCCAGGAGCTACTACAATCTTATAACAAACTATAAACGTCAATCCATAACCTACTACGATCTTATAACAAACTATAAATGTCAATCAATAAGGTACCACGATCTTATAGCAAACTATAAACGTCAACCAATAAGGTACTACGATCTTATAACAAACTATAAATGTCAATCAATAAGGTTCTACGATCTTATAACAAACTATAAAGGTCAATCAATAAGGTACTACGATCTTATAGTAAACTATAAACGTCAATCAATAAGCTACTACGATCTTATAATAAACTATAAACGTCAATTAATAAGTTACTACGATCTTATAACAAACTATAAACGTCAATCAATAAGGTACTACGATCTTATAGCAAACTATAAATGTCAATCAATAAGGTACTACGATCTTATAACAAACTATAAATGTCAATCAATAAGCTACTACGATTTTTTAGAAAACTATAAATGTCAATCCATAACCTACTACGATCTTATAACAAACTATAAATGTCAATCAATAAGGTACTACGATCTTCTAGTAAACTATAAATGTCAATCCATAACCTACTACGATCTTATAGTAAACTATAAACGTCAATCAATAAGCTACTACGATCTTATAGAAAACTATAAATGTCAATCAATAAGGTACCACGATCTTATAGCAAACTATAAATGTCAATCAATAAGGTTCTACGATCTTATAGCAAACTATAAATGTCAATCAATAAGCTACTACGATCTTATTGCGAACTATAAACGTCAATCAATAAGGTACTACGATCTTATAACAAACTATAAATGTCAATCAAAAAGCTACTACGATCTTATAATCAACTATAAATGTCAATCAATAAGCTACTACGATCTTATAAAAAACTATAAATGTCAATCCATCAGCTGCTACGATCTTATAGCAAACTATAAATGTCAATCCATCAGCTGCTACGATCTTATAGCAAACTATAAATGTCAATCCATAACCTACTACGATCTTATAACAAACTATAAATGTCAATCAATAAGCTACTACGATCTTATAGTAAACTATAAATGTCAATCCATCAGCTGCTACGATCTTATAGCAAACTATAAATGTCAACCCATAAGGTACTACGATCTTATAGCAAACTATAAATGTCAACCAATACGGTACTTCGATCTTATAGTAAACTATAAATGTCAACCAATAAGGTACTACGATCATATAGCAGACTATAAATGTCAACCAATAAGCTACTACGATCTTATAGCAAACTATAAATGTCAACCAATAAGGTACTACGATCTTATAGCAAACTATACAAGTCAATCCATAACCTACTACGATATGATAGCAAATTATAAATGTCAATCCATCAGCTGCAACGATCTTATAACAAACTATAAATGTCAATCAATAAGGTACTACGATCTTATAGCAAACTATAAATGTCAACCAATAAGCTACTTCGATCTTATAGCAAACTATAAACGTCAATCAATAAGGTACTACGATCTTATAGAAAACTATAAATGTCAATCAATAAGGTTCTACGATCTTGTAACAAACTATAAACGTCAACCAATAAGCTACTACGATCTTATAACAAACTATAAACGTCAATCAATAAGGTTTAACGATCTTATAAGAAACTATAAACGTCAATCAATAAGGTTCTACGATCTTATAACAATCTATAAACGTCAATCAATAAGCTACTACGATCTTATAACAAACTATGAACGTCAATCAATAAGCTACTACGATCTTATAGCAGGCTATAAATGTCAACCAATAAGCTACTACGATCTTCTAACAAACTATAAAGGTCAATCAATAAGCTACTACGATCTTATAGCAGACTATAAATGTCAACCAATAAGCTACTACGATCTTATAACAAACTATAAAGGTCAATCAATAAGCTACTACGATCTTATTGCGAACTATAAACGTCAATCAATAAGGTACTACGATCTTATAGTAAACTATAAATGTCAATCAATAAGGTACTACGATCTTATAGCAAACTATAAAGGTCAATCCATAACCTACTACGATATGATAGTAAACTATAAATGTCAATGAATAAGCTACTACGATCTTATAGTAAACTATAAACGTCAATCAATTTATAGAATATATAGTAATTGGAAGTCTCGTCAATCTTTTACACGATTACACTTTTGTATCCGAAACTGCTGCCAAACCGACTGAAAAAGTATTATTTCAGAAAACTATAAACGTCAATCTACGGAATATGTTTTGGTGATGTACTATGTATTGACATCGACACCAACTAAAATAATTAGGGTGTTATATCACATTTGTTTATCACTTTTAAGTATTTTTTATCAATTCTAAAGCAAAAAAGTGGCCTCGGTGGCCGATTGCTTTTAGTAGTCAAACAAATATATCACTAGCCTGTCAACACTGGAGGTTATGAGTTAAAATCATACACCTGTCATGTGCGCTAGACTAGTATCTTAATTGATTAGAATTGTCAGTTTTACCCCCGATGGTTGATTGTTCTCTTCGGGCACTCTGGATTATTCCACCAATAAAAACGGACCGCCATAAAATAGAACAAAATACTGAAAGTGACGTTAAGCAATATAAAGTAAAGAATCAATTAATCAATTAATCAATCTAAATGTAAACCAATATGTGAATGTTTTTTATATCAAGGAACCTAAGCCAGTTACCCCCCCCCCAATCACTAGAAATTATTTCGAGGGTTTTCGGTTGGGGGATACAACGAAAGGCTTAGAAAAAATTGACAATGAGATAACTTTTCACAAGAGATCAAATGACACAGAAATTAACAACTATAAGTCACTGTACTGCCTTCAACAATGAGCAAATCCCATACCGCATAGTCTGCCTTTAAATGCCCCGAAAAGACAAATGTAAAACAATTTTGTCTGTTTCTACAAGTACAGATTAAATAAAAACATATACATTGTATGAGGAGATGAAGCTTAATTACCAAATGAGATATATCCAGAGACCAAAAGACAAAGTAGTAAGCAAATATATATTGTCACCGGGCAAGATTGAACAAAATACCGCATAGCTAGCTATAAAAGGTCCCGGATTGTAAAATTGGAAATATACAACAGGGTTTCGCAATAAACATAGAATAGTAATTATTACACACAACACACTCGTACACATTGGAGTTGGTGCTGGATGTGTGGTGGTTTGATACCATTTTACATTGGCCTTATAAGTATGTATTGTTTGCACGAAAATAAGAAGCAAGTTGATTTATTGTTTTGGTTTTTTTTTTGTTATATACAATTGATCAGTTAGGGTTAGGGTTAGACCGTAGAAATAAGTATAAGAATAGGTGTAATATATATAATAAAACTGAACGATACAACTTGAGTTCACTAAAAGATCTAAATTTCACAACATTTCATAAAGTACCGTAAATTGGGAAATTTTGGCGTCGGGATATTTTGGCGGTTTTCACTCAAACGGCATGTGTTTTATTTTTGTGTGTGTAATTTTGGTGCTTCGTCCAATTGATGTGTTTAATTTTGGAACAATAGAAGTGTGCGAGTTCATTCATATTTGCCCTTATTTACTAGATTATGTTTATTGAAAAAATATCAATGACCTACACAGACTAGAAACACGACAAAGTTAACTAAATGAAGGAATAAGATACGAATGCAATTGCAAATAGTTCCGGATCTCCGGGTTGAACGCTAAAAGAAAGTGATTTTGATAACTACATGTTAATAATTAACGATCAAGGATTTAAATTTTAATCCTTATGCCTCTGGCAGTACATGCCAATTAATAGAAGATAAAGGATTACAAGGATTTTTCATATTCTAATTACCAATAACGATGTCTAATCAGCAATAGCCTGGCATATTTATGACTTATGTGAATACAAATTCATATTGTGTTTTCTTAACTATTTCAGAAAATTGACAATTAAATAAAAATTATATAGTGTTGTATTCAAATTATACCCCGTATTTATTTGCAGATTTGGCTATGTATAGAATAAAAGGAAATATATACGGAAGATATAATAACATAAGCTATTTCCCCCAATAATTAACACTACGATATCGTCGTACCGGTCCTCGATTTTGGCGTTTCAATGTTTAATGTTTGCTTTATTTTCGCGTGTTTAATTTTGGCACTTTCATTGGAGGCACCAAATAAAACAAAATAAAGCTACAACCAAAAGAACCAAATTTACGGTATATAAAAATAAAAATAGCATTGAAAATGGCCGGATGTCTACTATTTGATATAGAATACATAAGATAGTACTGAGTAAAAATTAAATATATAAATGTTATAATGCGTTCATTGATGCCAGCTTCTGGTACAGGTCTTTCATGGAATGCTCAATGGCCCCTCCTCTGCTTTGTTTTATAACAGTAGTTGTTACACCAGTGGCTCTATCCACACAAATACCTTTGTATTTCCACTCTAAACCAATTATCTGACCTTTAAATGACCAGCTTACAATCTTTCCATCACCACGATCAATCTATTTAATAAAAGAGGGCAATGCATTTAATGATGAAACAGCCGTTAAGTAAAATAATGATAGCTATATAAAAAGTTTGTTCGTGTAATGTACCATTTAACGCCACTCTTGATTGGATGGTTGACTGTCGAAGTCATTGTCAACGTTCAACGTTTCTATTGTTAATATAACATTTTAAATATTTACGATTAAATCTGCCTCAGCTTTAAAGACAGACATCCCCATCTCCCTTTAAACATATGTAAGATAACCAATTTTGAGTCACTCACTATTCGGGTTAATGACTGTATAAAATTAAAGGTCAAAAGTATTGTAAATGCTAAATCGTCGTGAGCAATACAAAACAACGTTATATATTATACACCTAATGACTGGTTATGAGGGTAATAGCAAGTTTGTTGTCCCTGTGATACTTACTATTACTCGAGGCGAAGCCGATGGCAATAGTTAGTATCATACGTCTTTAAGGCAGAAGTGAATTTATGGAGCTACATATATGGGGTGATTGGAATTTTCACTCAAAACGCTGCCTAGTTTGTGCCCCTCTCTCTCTCTCTCTCTTTCAAAATTCTGGATCCGCATCAAGGATACCTTTCAAATAATAAAAACCAAATCAACTGCTTACCTCTCCGCTACCAGCTTGTGCTTGTCCCATATCTTCAGTACCTTTCAAATGTTATATCTCATGTATCTATTGCAGACAAAACCCTAGAAAACGAATAATACCTTTGCATAAAAGATTTCGTTTTAAGATGGTCATACATTTTAGAATAACTCACTTAACTTCGTGTAACATATTCATGGTTTAAATTTTATGTATTAGTCCCAGTTTAAATCAATAAAACATAAACACAACGAACCATTTTGCCTATTATTAAATCATCTATACTTCTGTTTAGCCATGTCTGTCCCGACAGTAATCAACGTTGACATTTTTAGCTTTACACGCATATTAGTTTTTACGCATTATAAAGTGTTTTTCTTCTTAATTTTGCAATCTTTGAAATAAATAATGGATAGACCTGAATTAAATTATATACAGTTATTTACCTTTAACTAAACCTGTAAACGTCAATAAACAAATAATCAATTGCAATTTATATATACCATGTGTGGGTATTTTTTAACCCAATTTCCCATTGTGCTATTTATAGTTATTACGGCCTCCATGTTCCCGACATTATGTGATCAGAAATATTTGAAAATTTGCAGAAATTGTTTATCTTTGAGTAACATATTTTTTTTACATTGCCATGCCAACTCACAGGTAGCAGGATGAGGATGCGTGTTTACCGAATAGAGAATAATGGCATAAACAAGAAGAATAGCGAAAATGGACCAAAATAAAAATAGAATTGAGAATAATGCTGTCCTACAATAATAAGAATAGAAAATATTGGGCAAAATGTATAAAGAATAAAGAAAAATGGCCTAAAAAACCAAAGAGAACAGAAATGAAATGATATGAGCCCTCTCGGGAAAATTAAGAGACTGTCTCCTGTATACAGTGTTCACTGTGTATCATCGCCACCAGATATTGGGTACCAACGAAGCGGAGAGAAACGAAAACATAAATAAACTAGGAAAGAATTCCTATAATTTTAAACATTTCTACCGTTTCGATGATGTTACCGCTTTTGAAACGATTTTTAACATATAAAGATTTAATTTGAAATGCCAACAAGTAGCAAACAAAGACAAGATTTTGAGTTATTCACCAAAACTGTGCACTTAGTCCAGGACAATTTCGAGGTCAATCGACCTCTGTCCCCCCTTTGGTTAGATATTCAACTGTGTCTCATTCTTTTTCAAGACAAACAAACAAATTTTTAGATTATGATAGTGTTACTTCATAGTTACTAAAATTTGCTATCAAAAAGACGTTCTTTAAAGAATACGACAAAACCATTTTTTTGTACAGCAAATTTCATGAAGTTGTACGGCGAATTGCAAAATAGCAACTTGTTTTCTGTACGGCGTCTTGCAATAAACTGTTATGTAACGATGATATTAATTACTATATAGATAATAAAAGCGGTGATATAGTGAACATTGCAATGTGTTACCAGATTACAAATATACGAAAAAAATGTGTTTCCATTTAAAAATTAAGGGTGGGGGTCAATAAAACATTGCGTTTCTAACTAAATTTCTAGTTGATGTATTTTATTGAAAAATAACATTTTGTTTATTTAAGTCGAAAAAAGTTTTCATGATAGAAAATTATCCCCCCTCCCCCTTCAAACAAAGAACAGTCGGTGCCTATAATATAATTCTATAATAAAAAAAATCAGCAAAGAAACCGCTAGCTTAAAGGATTTAATTCTTTTGTAGGACGTTAATTATACAAACTACAGTAAAAAAAAGCAGGATGAGCAACTTGACAAAAAAAGACAGGATGGAAATTTATGTTAAAAAAAAAGTCAGGATAAACTAATAAAAAAAGACAGGACCAAATAGAGTGAAAAATTAAAAGGCAGGACAGAGATAACATCTTAAAAAATAACCCCCCCCCCCCCCTTTCCATTAAAAATCAAATGGTAGCTCCCTTATTTTCGAAAAATGCAATTACGGGGTATTACATCATACTGAGATTATTTTGTAAAAATCTGTATTCTATAAAATATAAACGCATCCAACATTCTACGTATAAGATGCCTACGGTTACCCATATTTTACACATCATATATATAAACAAAGTCCCAAGCTTGTAGGTACAGTTACATGTTGATAGTATTTTATTTTAGAATCACGAATATCAATTAACCGTTTTTTTCTGAGAAATATTTTAAACGTACTAATATCAGAAAAAGAAAATTATTGATGTGAAAAATGCCAACGTGTTTTTCGTATTACGCTCATTGTTCAAATTAACTTTTAAAAATCATTTAAAGATTTGACAATTACCATAAGTCTCAAGTTACTTCTATATTTCCATAAATAGACAGTAAGAATTAAAAATAAACTAGTTATTTTTAGACTTTGTTTATTAATACGTGTACTTAAAGTTCATGTGGACCTTTTAGATTAAATGGCTATGTTTTAACTTGACAATTTACCATGAGTACAGACAAACCTGTGTATCTTAAAAAAAAATAAGGCATAGCATACGCTGGATAAGTAAATTTCAAATACATTTTATGTTTTAGAACATATAAAACTTTAAAACTGGATTGGCAGTGCAGCTTTTTTTCGTTCCTATAGAAGATGCAAAAATGTACAAAATTAGGAAAGAGGTTTGAGAACTTCCCCAGTAGAATATAATGCTATTTGCTATATCGTGGCAGTTAGTTTTTATTAGTGGAAGAAACTAGAGTCAGTGGGAAATCTAATGAAAAGTAAAATCCCAAAAAATACTGAACTCCGAGGAAAATTCAAAACGGAAAATCCCTGATATAAAAGGGCAAAATCAAAAGCCCAAACACATCAAACGATTGGATAACAACTGTCATATTTCTAACTTAGTACAAGCATTTTGTTATGTAAAAAAAGGTGGATTAAACCTGGTTTTATAGCTAGCTAAACCTCTCACTTATATGACAGTCGCATAAAATACCATTATATTGACAACAATGTGTAAACAAAACAAACAGACATAATTGGTAAAAATGTCACAAATAGGTTAAAATAAAAACAAAACTTCCATTTAAGGGCATACGATACAGTAGCAGGGGCAGATAATAACGTTTTCAAAACTTTTCGTGTTGTTTTCGCGACGTTGTTAATCAGAACGTTGTAATTTCGCGATGTTTCTAATAAGAACGATTACATTTCGCGACGTCGCTTTAGATGTAGTCACATTTGCGGAAAATCCACTGACGTCATAATCCCGATTGCGCGAAATTGAAAAAAGTACCTGCAATGAAAATCGGCCAAATCACGAGAATTGTTATATTTATTCATTAATAAGGAAGTCAACAATATTAACTTCGAATGGGAAAAAAATCAAATCCACATTCTTAACTTTGTATGTCTGTTATTTCATATAGAAAATGAATAAGAGATAAGAAAAACATAAGACGTCGATGAGAGAAAAACCCAACTACACAAAAAAAACCCAAAACAATAAGTAATTTATATAGTAACTTCACCATTTGGCTCACAAAAAAACGTAATAAATAATGACAACGCATCTTACTGTTCCTGACTTTGAAAAGGTACAATAAAGAGTTTAACGACATTTTTAGAATTTAACCCGTGGAATATATATGTGTATGAAGAAGAACTGTCAGTTAAAATGACACAGTTATAAGCCCCGTATTATAGCCCAAAAACAAAAACGCACCCGTTGATGTGCTAAGCATATCCTCTATGTACATATTGAGAGAGAAAAATCGGCACACAGGAATTAGGTATTTGACAGACCAGAGTTGCAACTCATTGATGTTAAGTTACTGAACAATACGAAGTCTTTTTGTAAAGAAGTTTCTCAGATAAGAAACAAAATATTTGTTGGACCGGACAAACAATGTGGTTGCACTCACTCCTAGATTGAAGGTAAAATACAGACAAGTAATTCAATGATTATATGTACCGTAATAAAAAAAATACCCTGAAGACAAGCTTAGGTAACTTATCTATTGATACAGAATCATTAAATTTCATGCTCTTATATCGACTGCTGTATGAAATGTTATACTAGTACTACACTGTAATGGACTTAGCTGGCCCGATTTAATGTGGGTATGATTTTGTGTTCATGTAATGCCTATAGAGTAGGTCGTTAGTTTTCTTGTTTGAATTATTTCACATTTTCATGTCGGGGCTTTTTAAAGCTGACTATACGGTGTGGCTTTTTTTTTTCTTTTTTTTGTGTTGAAGGCCGTAGGGTTACCTTTAATAGCGTTTATCTTCGTCATTTGAACTATGGTTGATAGTTGTCTCTTTTGCAATCATACCAAATGTCCTTATTTTTATATCATCCCCCTTACTTTATAATTGTTGCACATTTTGTAATGTCGGGGCTTTTTGAACAATTAAAACTATGTTCAAGCTGTGTTGTCTACATGAATTGTATGACTAATGTCGGACATGCAGAGATGCAAATTAATTTTTTTATTATATATATATCTGTTTTGTTTCCGAACATGTCTTTTCTAAAAGTAATTTACTAGAATACTTTTTCTATCCAAGTTTCGTAACAATTCATAAAGGTTTGGCAAATATGATGCTATTTACGAGGAGCCAGCTTTATTAATTTTCATGATTAATATCATTGGTTTAAAAAAAAAACACCTTGGCTCTACCACTGAAATTGACAACGTAGTAGTGAACGGCGGGAAAGATTTCACGACGTTGTTGCGAATAAAACTTATTCCAACGTAGTTTGGCGCCTTATTGGCAAACGTCCCGTTTGCCAATAAAAATTAAGGTTTATTGCTTTTATTGAAAAAACAAGCACATGGACCCCCAGTTTTTTCTTTTGCAATCAATCAAGTTCTGTTTCAAGAACGCTCCGCCAAAATTTTAAGAAAAAATCAACGATAGAATTTTTTCTGCACTTCTGTGTAGACGCAAAAATATTTTCATCTTCTTTATTTAACTTGTATTAAAAGAATTTAGGATATAATTATTTATTTCAACCGTTAACTTGTTACAGCATGCTGATGCCATGGATCAAGGGAACATTTTACAAAAAACCCGGTTAAATTATGACTGTTCGTTCAAAAGTATTGGTACTTTCCTTAAAAGTCCTGATTTTTGAAATTTCAGGGTTTTTCCTTCAAATATGCAAATTTCGAACCAAATTATCTCAAAAAGTAAGTCATGAAGGTATATTTTTCTTTGCATATTTCAAAAGTACACATCGAAATTGACCTTCTACCAAAATTTCAAGAAAAAATCAACGAGGGATCTCTACTGTATCGTATGCCCTTAATGGTACTGTCATTTCCTACGTTAAATAGAAAACGACGAGTGCATCAGCCCGAAGGAGCTTGGTGTAAAATTGGATTAAAATGTTGCTATGCGAAAAAATTTATGGAGTACCAACCAAATTATAAACTTCAACCAATAAGCTACTATAATAGAGTGACAGCAACGGAAAGTAAAATTATAAAATGCTAAATTCATTCCCTTCTTCTTGAGACGCTGTCTCATACTGATTAGTTTTGGTTCTTAAAGGAATATCGCTTGTCTGTTGAAAAACACATCTACCAAACGTAGTATCACTCTAGAAAAAGCACGAAGATAAGAAATCTTTACCAAGATGTAGAATCGATAGCAAAATTAAAAGAAAACAAATGAAAGAAATTTTGCTGTTAAAATATCTTTAAGATTGAATTATAAACTATATTACAACATTCCGTTCGTTTACCAACTACATCTCTAACAGCCTATCCCTTAGAATTATTTGGAATTATATCTTGTGGGATAATTGAAATCATTATATCAATGTTTCGCGTCGTCATCATGAATTTGTTGATAATTACAGAAATTCCTTGTCATAACTAACCTAGGGTGAACAAATTTTAACATATACAACACGTTTTCATTTTTTTCTTGTGATGTTTTATTTTCTGAAATATAGCCAATTCCACTTGTTAACATGGAAAACACGACATGTGTCAATAACTCTCAACATCCGAGTTAATTCTGATTTATTTGGATCATTTTCCCTTTTTTTTAACAATTACGAACTTTTGTCATGAGGAAAGGTTTGTTTTCTACTCTGAACATCTGAGTCCGTTCCCCAGCTTTATTTTATAACAAACCTTTGTCATGAGGTAAGGTTTGTTTTCTACTCTGAGTCCGTTCCCCACCTTTATTTTATAACAAACCTTTGTCATGAGGAAAGGTTTGTTTTCTACTCTGAGTCCGTTCCCCAGCTTTATTTTATAACACACCTTTGTCATGAGGAAAGGTTTGTTTTCTACTCCGAGTCCGTTCCCCAGCTTTATTTTATAACAAACCTTTGTCACGAGGAAAGGTTTGTTTTCTACTCTGAGTCCGTTCCCCAGCTTTATTTTATAACAAACCTTTGTCATGAGGAAAGGTTTGTTTTCTACTCTGAGTCCGTTCCCCAGCTTTATTTTATAACAAACCTTTGTCATGAGGAAAGGTTTGTTTTCTACTCTGAGTCCGTTCCCCAGCTTTATTTTATAACAAACCTTTGTCATGAGGAAAGGTTTGTTTTCTACTCTGAGTCCGTTCCCCAGCTTTATTTTATAACAAACCTTTGTCATGAGGAAAGGTTTGTTTTCTACTCCGAGTCCGTTCCCCAGCTTTATTTTATAACAAACCTTTGTCATGGGGAAAGGTTTGTTTTCTACTCTGAGTCCGTTCCCCAGCTTTATTTTATAACAAACCTTAGTCATGAGGAAAGGTTTGTTTTCTACTTTGAGTCTGTTCCCCAGCTTTATTTTATAACAAACCTTTGTTATGAGGAAAGGTTTGTTTTCTACTCTGAGTCCGTTCCCCAGCTTTATTTTATAAAAAAAACCTTTGTCATGGGGAAAGGTTTGTTTTCTACTCTGAGTCCGTTCCCCAGCTTTATTTTATAAAAAAAACCTTTGTCATGGGGAAAGGTTTGTTTTCTACTTTGAGTCTGTTCCCCAGCTTTATTTTATAAAAAAAACCTTTGTCATGGGGAAAGGTTTGTTTTCTACTCTGAGTCCGTTCCCCAGCTTTATTTGGATCATTTTTGCTTTTTTTCCCCAACCACGAACTGCTGTCATGAAGAACGGTTTGTATTCTACTCTGAACATCTGAGTCCGTTCTCCATGTTTATTTGGATCATTTTCCTTTTTTCTACCAATCACGAACTTAATTTTGTCACGAGGAAAGTTCTGTTTTCTACTCTGAACATCTGAAGCGTTCCCCATCTTTATTTGGATCATTTTTTTCTGGTTTTTTTTATCAATCACGAACTTCTGTCACGAGGAAAGGTTTGTTTTCTAATCTGAACATCTCTTTTTTTTTGGATCAGGTTCGTTATTGTTTATAACAATCATTGTCCTTTTTCATTAAGAATATGAAACACTTATGAACCACATCAACAAACGACAACACTGAACATCAGGTTCCTGACTTGGGACAGGTGCAAACAAATGCAGCGGGTTTAAACGTTTTAATAGGTACCAACATTCACCTTTACCTGAAACAAAAGTGTAACATCACAACATAGAAAGCAAACAAAGGTTTGTTTTCTATTCTGAACATCTGAGTCCGTTCTCAGTCTTTATTAGGACCATGTTCCTTATTGTTTCAATCTTTCATGGTCCTTTGTCATGAATCACGGTTTGTTTTCAACTTTGAACATCTGAGTCCGTTCTCAGTCTTTATTAGGACCATGTTCCTTATTGTTTCAATCTTTCATGGTCCTTTGTCATGAATCACGGTTTGTTTTCAACTTTGAACATCTTAGTCCGTTCTCAGTCTATATTAGGATCATTCTATCTTTTGTTTCTATCGATTGTGGTCTTGTCATGAAGACATTTTATTTTCCCATGTCATGCGGTTAAAGCATTATCAATGGTTTAAATATATGAGAATTATCGATGGTATTAATTGAGCGACAACTATCTGTCTGTCATTTTATCACCACTTCAGTTTAAGATACATTACCTAATGTCTAAATGCTTTTTCTGTGTCAACCATTAACAAAAGTGTTTTGAAAATACCAATTATCTGGTGTTTTTTTGCATAATAATACTGTTAATTATTCAAGTCACAAGAAGAAGTTGAAATTGATGGAAGAAAATAACAAATGTTTGGGTCGAGAATTTTCATGATTGAAAATTTTTTTTCTAGAGGTAATTTGTGTGTAAACTGGAACACTGACTCACAAACTTTTCATAAAATTCCGAAGTATTAACCTGCCAGTTTATACGTCAATACCCTCTAGAAAACATATTATTAATTCTGTAATAGCAAAATGTCTTGATAATTGATTTTCGGATTGTGTTAGTGTGTTTTTCGTGATTTCAACTGCAAACCGGTTTAAACATTATGAAGTTGAATGTATTTCCGGGTAAATCCCAAGTTTGTGTAGACGTTTCTATTTATATTCGAACATAGAGAGGTCCCTATCAATCTTTATACATAAAATCCATGTTTGTCCATACGTAAGATAAAGGTTATTATTCAAAACTGTACCAGATCAACGCTTAATCAACGCAACAAATAACAAACTATTGGAAAACTAGAACATTCAAATAGATTATTCGACAATTAAATAACTGGTATGATCAAATGAAACGTCTATACTTTCTTCTATGGAACGCCATGACTGCCTTATGTTGATGATCATCATTATATGCAGTGGTCACAGCATTATATGCAGTGGTCACAGCATTAAATGCAGCCGTGACAGCATTATATGCAGTGGTCACAAAATTATATGCAGTTGTTACAACATTATATGCAGTGGTCACACCATTATATACAGTCGTGGCAATATTATATGCAGTGGTTCCAACATTATATGCAGTGGTCACAACATTCTATGCAGTTGTCGGAACATTATATGTAGTGGTTACAACATTATATGCAGTGGTCTCAACATTATATGCAGTCGTGATAACATTATATGCATTGTCGGAACATCATATGCAGTGGTCACAATAATATACGTGTTTTGTTGATGAAGGTGATGATCAGTGTAAGTGATGATGATGAGTGATGATAGTGATGGTGGTGGTTCAGATTCGGTAAATTTGGTAATTTTAATCGGAAATTGCTGAATCAAGTCATAATTGATAATGCCCCGAAAACAAAACGAAACAGTTATTCAAGTCATGTAATTTGAGCAATTCGATTGAAATCTTTATCAGAGAAAAAATAACACCTGCTATTGTCTGCAAATTGAACAGACATTATTTTATCCATTTAGGGGTAGTTCATTCCAAAGAAATGGTGAAACTAAGGGTTGAATGCATTAATTATAGTTCTATTTATCTTAAGAAATACGCACGGTATAATGTATTTAAAAATAATGAATGATAAATATGAAACATTGAATGGCATGTGTATACTATATGTCTCGAGCTCATTTCATATTAAACAACCAAAAGTTATAAGCCACTTAAAGTCTTTAGTCAATATTCAGTGCCATATTATATATATATATATATATATATATATACAAGTCTAAATTGAAAACAACGTTCAAACCTATGATTGCGTTGGATAAAAACCGCAATTTTTATACGTGTGCATGCAAAACAAATTTCTTGGTAGAGTGGTCTAAATACAGCACAAACAACATTTTCCAAAAGACCAAAAAGTGAAAAAGTATATTTTAACAAAACGCATTTGACTAGCAGGTCGAACAACGGATGTTCTTAAACCCTGCTGACTGCCATGGCGATTGCCAAATAAACGGATCACCAGATGTAACAATGAATCTTAATTTATAAATTAAATACAAAACATATATATATATATATATATATATATATATATATATAAGACTCAGATCGACGTCCACCAGGAACCTATGAAGAAGGTCTGTTCCTCAAATCATCTGGTGCCATGACTGTATATCAAAACTCTTACTGGAAGTAAGAATATCTCCTCTTTTCGATGTCTTATATGATTTGATCATTTCTTCCAACTTTGATCTTTTTTTTATTTTCTCTGAAGTGATCGTTTTGTTTTGTATAATGCTGTCCAAATATACAAATATTTATTTTAATATTTTATACGTATCACAATGGCTTATGTAAAGTAACAACAAAGGATAAAGCATCCCGTCTCAAAGAATAAACTAAAACAAATTAAAAAAAACGAACATGGATAAATGACAACGATTCAACGTCCGACAGCAGATTCTGCACTTGGACAGAAATAGTTTGCGTACATGAAATACGTCGATCAACTCAATCTACGTATGATGTCTCATTCCTTTTACATTCATATGAAAAAAAGGAGATATGGATATGCGTCAATGAGGCAGCAATCAAACGACAAAGATAACCGTACAACACTGGAGTCATACAGTCGGCAACAATAGACAGCTATCTATACAATATGTAAAGATTGAAATAAGGAAATTAAGAAGTAGGACCAATTTACCACGAATTTATTCCACGCCAGTGGCATTTTTTACATCATTTGATCTTATTTCAATGATCAGTATCATCATATTCACAACTTAATATGTTTATACTTTAAGTATTTAAAAACATATATAATTGTGCATTTCTGATCATTTAACCCCAAATAAACATCTTCAGATTACTCGGGACTGCAATTTAGATACATCATGACCCAGTATTTTCAAGGAGAACCAAAATCTGTCAGAAGTAAACTATGTATTGCATTTTGGAAACAAATTAATTTATTTTAGTGCAAAATAACTATTTTATGAATGAAAATCTTTTTAAGAATATAATTCGGACTATGCAATATATAAAAATCCAATAAGTTTCGACAATTTTCCGATTTTTACCCCGTGAGTGAAACATATACAGGAGAAAGACGCCCCACAGAAATAATCAAGATCCACCATCAAAAGTATAGAACTCAGATAACGAAAAATATTCAGGTATGAGATCTTCAACTTCTGACAAGGATCCTAACATGGGATATGGAAAACATTTTGTTAGTGAAAATAACTGAAATCCCCAAACTATAGCAGCAAGACAAGCTTGTATGTGAGAAGAATTAGAACGCCAATAACAACAACGAGAATAATTCACAGTAAAACAATAGTTCTCCAGGAAGAGACATAATAACGAGTGGCGAGTTGGTTTTTTTTTTTTTGTGTTGAAGTGACAAATTTTTGTGCGGACCTTCATTAAAATCAAAGAGTTGTTAGTAACAAAAATTATTCCTCTTTTACTTGCTGTTGCTTTCATCTGGACCTTAACACAAATTTTAATCAGAATCATTCATGTGTAAAATATAGGTCGAGGTGACCAACTTTTTTTCAAGGTCCTTTGTTGTTATCAAAGATGTGCGATCTTAAAGATATCATTCCTCTATGACTTGTAGTTGATTAGAATTTGTGTAAATTAGAGCATCAAAATAAAACGGAATCTCGTCTTTTCAGACGGGTGAGTTGAGTTTTAAAAAAGGGGGCCAATTTTTCGATTGCAAACTTTTAAACTTTAGTCTCCAGTTCAAACAATACACATATAACTGTTAATAATAATACCTCTCCATTCCCAGATGTTCCAAGTGCATTTGCCAGATTTTCAGCACCGCCTATTAAGTTCCCTATATCAGCAAGCCCGGCATTTATGTGACCTGTAAACATGGAAAAGAAACCTTCTACTCGTTGTGCAATCATTGACCAATCAACACTTATCTAATATAATATTTATATGTAAGCATGGCTTTTTTCTCTGTCCAAAGAAATATATCTGAAAATTCCTTTAAATCTCCTGACTCAATAAACGTTAAAAGTAATCTAGACATATAGATTCTACCACTGCATCGAGTGTGATACGATATTTATCCACTCGAGACAGTTAAATTTTCAAATTTAAAACGCGAGGCTCGCCGAGCGTTTTAAATATTTAAAATTTAACTGTCGAGAGTGGATAAATATCGTATTACACGAGATTTGGTGGTAGAATCTGTTTCTCTAATGATTTTCAAACAATACGCAGGCAAATTTATTCCTTCTTTTCGAATGATCTGCAAAAAGATGTGTTCTTTCTATGTGACGTCATCAGGCATGGTCGCCTTTTTTCATGCCGTCACAATAGGAAATTCAGAGGAAAGCAAGAAAATTCGACGTCATAATAATTTTAACCAATGAAGAACTGAGATCAAACGAACCACACGTTGATTAAATTTTTTTATACAATGGGTGCAGAAAGGGATAAATTGACGAAGAATTAGAGACATTGTTTTATGTATCAGCATCTCGGAAATGGTACCAATATGGGCTACAGGACTAACAGATATTGTTTGTTGTATTCAACTGACGGAGGACGACGACATCGAGAATGAACATTTCATGTTGGCAATAAAAATATTTAATGAGACGAACGAAACAATGAACGATGTTACTATACTTACAAAAACCTTTCATAAGAAATTAATAGTCCCAAGTTTCTACGGGTCGTCGACATAAAAGCCCAAGCCCTTTTGTTTCCTCCGGTTTAAAAATATATATTCAAATTGTTTTTTGATTAATCGTCACTCGTGAATAAATGTTGTTCATCTTATTTGTGTAGCTGTTTTTGACGATCAACCCATGTTTGTTTTTAATGGCATCTCAGCTTTGTACTGTAATGGTAAACCCAGCTTTAAATCAATATTACTTTACTTGTCTTTTCAAGCTCCCAATGATAGATACGAATAAAAGATGTGGGGTATACACCTATGAGACTGCAACCCAACGACACAAAAATACCAAAATGAGATTTAAGAGGTCATCAATCAACAAAAGACAAGTCAAGCTTTGATCGTTCCAGGTCTATAAAAGTTGTGAATAAATTTACCAGAGACTATTAGAGGTCTGCTATCAACAAAAGACAAGTCAAGCTTTGATCGTTCCAAGTCTATAAAAGTTGTGAATAAATTTACCAGAGACTATTAGAGGTCTGCAATCAATACCGACAGAAAAAATATATAACAAAAGACAAACTGACGAGGTTGCGATGTTTCTTATTTATGAAATCGAGCGTCCTACTTTTCAGATACTTAAATAGCATATGTACTCTGCGTATTTTTTCTTTAATCATAATTATATATATATATATTACTATTAATAACACTTACCGAACACCAGTACAACGACACAGAGAGATAACCAGACTTGACCAGGCATTTTGACGAGTAAATGCTTACTTACCTTACCGTTTATATAAGCTGTGTTAAGTACACGTATCCATAAACAAAGTCTAAAAATAAAAACACAGGATATTTTTAATTCTTATTTTCGATCAAACAAATTCAGAAGATACCTGAGACTTATTGGAAATTTCAAATCTTTAAATAACCCGTGACAGTGAATTTGAATAATGCGCGTAATATGAGCAATACACTAAACTACAATCAGAATTAAATTGGGTTGAGGTGACCCATTTTTTTCATGGACATTCGTTACTATCCAAGATGTGCGCACTAATAGTAAATCATTCCTCTTTGACTCGCAGTTTGTTTCGATCTTGACCTAAATGCAAAACTTAGCCGTGCTTTATGCATTATGTTCAGTAGTATTGACATTATGTTCAGTAGTTTTCATATTCTGTTCAGTAGTTTTTACATTATGTTCAGTAGATTTGACATTATGTTCGGTGCTTTGGTTATTATGTTCAATAGTTTCATTATTATATGCAGTGGTATTTAAATTATGTTTGGTACTTCTGACGTTATATTCAGTGCATTTTGCATTATGTTCAGTACTTTCGACATTATGTTCAGTAGATTCAATATTATTTGCAGTACAATTATGTATTACCTTCAGTGGTCCCGGTTTCTTTATATTCGGTGGATTATTCATTATGTTCAGTAAAAGCATCAGTACTATACTCGGTTCAATGAACTATATGTTCAGTAGTTGTATCATTATGATGATGCAGTAAAAATTGGGAAATCAATAACGGAAATTGTCGGAAAAAAACGAACGCGGACATTTTTGACGGACGTTTTCTTCATGGACACTTTTACGGGATGGAATGAAAATGGAAGAAATGGACGAAATGGAAGCAGTATTAAAAAGGTTTGGTTTACGTTCCCACGTTGGCAATTTTCACAAGGAAAAAATTACTCCTGACTTAATTTGTAAAATGTCATGATTGATTGATTGATTGTTGTTTTCTGAACGTATAGTGGCAAATATTTCACGCATATTTATGACGGCGAGAAGAATTTTTCAACAAAAAATAAGAAGTTGCATGCGTTGTCGTTGATACACCATGACCATAGAGAGACGACAAAAAGACAAACAGCAAATAAAAAAATAATATAAAAACATATTCTATAGCTTTTGTATTCCTAGAAGGTAACCCTTTGTGTTGGTTGGTTGTAGCATATTAATCTCATGCACCGACATGCACCGACTTACCGACTTTTAAGAGACCACCAAATATCTCCTTCTGGGTATTCTTATTGTATTCTGCATCCTACCCCTCTAATAGGCGCTTAAATATCAGATATTTATTTGAAATAACCCAAGATATATGAGGTTGTGGTTGAGGTTTACAGAATAGAGAATAATGCCCCTATCCCCAAAAAAGAGAAGGTGGGCAAAAAATAAAGAATAGAGAATAAAGGGGTGCTTTAAAAAAATGTTTAAAACTTTGGAAAAAGATAAAAAAAAAAAGTGATTACAGAATTAAATGATTAACAGAATAACTAAACTTTTTCTGCATACCGAATTTATTATTGATATGGAATGAAATGTTGAACTGGTCGTAATCAGAACTGGTTGATTGATGTTACCATGCAAATTATGTACAATCGATATTTTCCTCGAAAATCACGATCTTGCATGAGTTAACAAATCTTGACGTACTATTTCGTCCAATATTGCAGACAAAGATAATCTGACATTCTTTTCCTGCATTGTGTCAGAAATTATCACAACAATGATAAAACAGTTCGTGATAGAGTTCAGACAAAAATGACAGCAAAAAGCTCTGCAATAGCAGAAAAACCAGAAAACAACTAGTCATAAATTTCATACATTCAAAGAGCTACATTGAAATTTATGCTGGTATGCAAGGGTATAGAATGAAATATTGTACAAAGTGCAACAAACAATGAACATTGAGTATCAGTATGATTGTCATTTTAAAATCATTTATTAAGATTTTTAATCTTCCAAATTCAAGCTGTATACACAAAAATTAACTAGGTCTAAGTGTAAATATGATTACCATAAACTGTCTATTAGACAGGTTATGAATATCAAAATACAAAGTGCAAAACTTTAATTATGTGCAAATTTTCACCATTTCTGCAGTTATGGTTCTTATTATTTTAAAGTAATGCATAAAACATGACCCCTTTTGTTAAATAAGAGACTAGAAACTACCCAAACCAATAACTTAATATCTGTTCTTGAACAGAACGTTTAAAAACATATTTCTAGATTTAGTCTCTAGATCCACCAACGATAGCCAGAATGAAGAGGAATAGATTGACAATATCCAGATACAGGTTCGAGGCTAATCCGTGTTACCATGAATTATCATTGATATGGTCATATTTATGAATCAACTTTCTCTATTCTGTAAACCTCATCCACAACCTCATTTATCTTGGGTTATTTCAAATAAATATCTGATATTTAAGCGCCTATTAACGGGGTAGGATGCAGAATACTATAGGAGTATCTGCAAGGAGATTTTTCGTGGTCTCTTAAAAGTCGGTGCATGAGATAAATATGCTACAACCAACCAACAAAAAGGATTACCTACTAGGAATACAAAAGCTATAGAATATGTTTTTATATTATTTTTTATTTTTTGCTGTTTGTATTTTTTTCGTCTCTCTATTGTCATGGTGTATCAACGACAACGCATGCAACTTCTTATTTCTTGTTTAAAAATTCTTCTCTCTGTCATACATGTAAATATGCGTGAAATATTTGCCACTGTACGTTCAGAAAACAACAAACAATCAATCATTCATGACATCTTACAAATTAAGTCAGGAGTATTTTTTTTCCTTGTGAAAATTGCCAACGTGTCAACGTAAACCAAACCAATTTAATACTGCTTCCATTTCTTCCATTTTCATTCCTGATCTAAAGTGTCCATGAAGAAAACGTCCGTCGGAAATATCCGCGTTCGTTTTTTTCTGAAAATTTCCGTTATTGATTTCCCGACTTTCACTGCATCATCATAATGATACAACTACTGAACATATAGTTAATTGAACCGAGTATAATACTGAAGCTTTTACTGAACATAATGAATAATCCACCGAATATAAAGAAACCGGGAACACTGAAGGTAATACATAATTGTACTGCAAATAATATTGAATCTACAGAACATAAGGAAAAATGCACTGAATATAACGTCAGAAGTACCGAACATAATTTAAATACCACTGCATATAACAATGAAACTACTGAACATAATAACCAAAGCACCGAACATAATGTCAAAACTACTGAACATAATATGAAAACTACTGAACAAAATATAAATACTACTGAACGTAATGCATAAAGCACCGAACATATTAAACAATCAACATCAGGAGACAGTCATGGCGTTCCATAAAATGTGTATAATAATTAATGACCATTCTTTACCTGCCTTAAAGATTGTTAAATGTCAGACTTCATTTTTAAATATGTAGGACCCCGATGTGCGATGGGGACGCTGAAGTGCGATGGTCACGCTGAAGTGCGATGGTCTAAATGACGCGTGATTCATAGTTATAAATCTACTATCTAGTTGGAAGAAAAGAATCGGTAAAAGAATTATCCTTCTGCAAAACTAGTAACCTAATTTCAGATTATGTGATATTCGTATACGGATTTGATATCAACCGTAAGTAACCTGCTAATATTATAGTTTCATCTATACCTTTTATACTTTTAATGTACATTGTTTTAAATGGTGTTTGCAACATTTGAAATAAAAGAGTATATTTCATATTATGTATCTTTAATACTAAATGAGGGATCGTCCTATTCAATTTTGCTGCCATCTTTCGATGATTTACTAGTACTTAAAAACCGAATATTTGCTATAACAAACAAATTGATGTCTATATCGACATGTGAACATGAAATACATTAAAAATATAGTTTATGTAATCCATTGCACTTCAGCGTTACCACCAACGCAAATCGGCGTAGCTATCAACAAGACAGAGTCACACTGCCACCATCGCACTTCAAAGTGACCATCGCGGTTCAGAGTACCATCGTGGTTCAGAGTCCTATAAATATATATAACTACTTTTGAACATTTTGACGTGTACATTATTTTTTTAATGAAAATACCGTTCACATAGAAAAAAAGAAATCGCTTATATACCGAAAAATAGGAAAACTTCTGTTTTCCGTGTAATAAATGTGTGGACTTGAATAAAAAAAAACCATAGACACATTAAGAATTAGCAATAGAATAGATTCAATTTACACATTCTATATGATAGCATGTTGCACATTGTAAGATTACTTTTTATCGTAATGTGATAAAGACCATAAAAAAAAATTATCAAGGGAATAAAAAATCTATCACCTTAAACAAAATCTAACCAATTACCTGATTAGGAAGAAACAATTGTCATGATGACACTAATGGTAAATACTGATTTTCTCCCTTGTGAACTCCGATTAACAAACTAATGACCGCATGGCGTGAAGTGATTTTTGTCCACGACAAAAAGTTATTAATAATCTGTTATTTTTTTTCGATTTTGTTATATAACTAGCGTCGACATTTTGCAATCGTATCAAAAACAACAAGCTTTTTAAATGACTATCATAAATTGATAGTATATAAATAAAGGAACTAAAAAAGCAGAAAAAAAATGAAGGGTCCGTTTGCTTGTTTTTGAGATACATGTATAAGCCATCGAAAATTTGGCGGGAAATGATTTTCTCTTGATTTTTCATACATTTAACATTGGCACCTTTTTTCTTTCAAAAACTATGAAAACATAACAAGGATTTTATAAGATTTTTAAATATGACTTTTTAAACTATATGTAATAAAATTATGAAAATAAAAATATGTGTTAGCGGGCAAACTTTTAAAGGCGCTACATGGATAAAACAAGAGGATTCCAAATATCTAGCAAAATTTTAAAACAAACAGAGCAAACATCCTTTAAAGGATAACATGAATTATAAAAAATTGTTGTAAGATTCAAAAGACCAACATCAACAACAAACGAACCACT